CCAGAATAAAAGCTTTTCACCAAAGCTTATAAAATATTTCGCGACCCTCGAAAAGCGTCATAAATGGCAGGTTGACCTAAATATATTAACGCAGGAAGAAAATGAGAAAGTGGATGTTTACGCCTACAATTTCAAAAGACTATTAAAACGAGTAGACCCAGAAAATAACCTACTAGTAACCTATGTAATTAGAATGTTCATGGGAGGGTTAAAGGGTAGAATTTCTGCAATAATGTCCATCGCTGAACCCAATAATCTTGATGAAGCCATCGCAGGAGCCCGAAGAGTCGAAGCAGGGGAATATTATAAGGAACGTAGAAATGAAGGAAGACCAACCAATCAAGTATTAGAAGAATTCAACCAAATTATGCGCCAAATGACGGTTGGTATGACGGCTAATTTCCAAATAGAGAAGAGTTTAGCTCCCAGCAACAACAATATCAAAACTATTGCCCCCAGCAGCAAAATAATCATGGTACGTGTTATAGATGCGAGAAAGAGGGCATATCTCCTGAAATTGTCTTTCCGAAAGACCCCTGAACCAAAGTAGAACTCCAGACCAGAATAAAGTCCAAAATTCGAATAGAAACCAGGAACGGAATAGAATCCAAGAACAAGGTGGAGCCCAAGAACAGAATAGGACCCAAGGTCAAGAAAGGGCCTAAAATCAACCAAACCAAGTTTTGGCCCTACCTGGTAGTGTAAACCTATGTGAAGTCTGCGATGAAGATAAGGAAAAAGAGGTATATGTGGGTAACCAGATTCGCCACCAACCATATACTATTGACAGACCCGAAAAAAGGACCGAATCCAATTGAGATGAACTAAAGAAACCCGATATCAAAGCTGAAGTCTTGAGGCAAGAAGTGAGGTGAACCTGCCTGTAAGTCGCAAGGAAAGCGCAAAAATGGTGAGTAAGGTGAACCTACTTGTAAGTCGTAAGGATAAAGCCTGGTCTGACGAGGAATAAGACCTGCGCAAAAAGAGAGGAATGCCTGCATACTGTGAAGTCCAACAAACGTGATTCGGATAAGCTGCGGTTAATCACGTTTGGCGCGAGTATGCAGATCAATTACCTAATATAGGTATCCCAGCAATTAATTCAATTAATTGAATTAAAGTCATTTCTTAAATCGAAAAAGGGGAATTTGATAGCGAAAAGAAATTTAATAATTACAATAGTTTAAACAAGTAGATTAAATAAATTAGATTAAATAAATAAAATGTAAAAACGAAATTTCTTCAGTAAAATAAGTCATAATTAAAAATTTATTATAAATAAAGGGCACAAATGCCCCGAGAAAACTAAGTCTCACCTTTGCTTCATTATAAAAATAAAGTCTCGTTGGCTTCATAAATAATAAAAGTCCCAATTTTATTAAATAATTGTCACTCATAATATTACATTAGCACTGCTTCGCTAACACACTCCCTAAGTTCTAAATTATACTTTGTTGTTCGTTTAACCTCTTGTTCACGTGACCCAAACCTTCCGGACGCTTGTGACCATCTTTGCTGACCCAAGTAACCGAAGCCTTAATAGTCCCTCAGCCTAATATAACGCACCTCTTTCGTAAGGTTACTTACCCTTGGTTACGTGAGTTTTTGTATTGTTGAGCGACCGAGCCGCAGTCTTTTCCCTACTCACAATACTAAAAAGCTGCGATAAAAGTGAAGAAAAGGCCTAGATGGTCTTAACTCTGTGCTCCCGACCCAAGTCGCTCTTTAAAAGTTGTCTAAAACCAAACCCACTGCCAAGCTCTTTATGATTTTATGCGTGATACGCTGTAAGAGGCGAAACGCCCACCTCGATACTGCGCCTAGTCCGGAAAATAATCACCCAAAAATTTCAAAAATTTCAAAAATTTCGATAGTCACGAAAACTTTGAAAATAATGAAAATTAAGCAAATTTCGAAAAAATGGTAAATTTCGAGAAATTGAGAAATTTAAGAAATTTATAAAAATTAGCAAATCTAAATAATTTAGAAAATAAAAAAATTTATTCTATATGTAAAAAAAACATGTATATAAGAAGTTGAATTTTACCTTCAATAAAATCAACTTTTAGAGTTCGAAAAACCTTCTAAGGCTTGAATAGTCTTGAATAGAAGTGTTTATCGCTAAATAAGTTTCTCTTTAAATCATTAAAATCGTTTTAGTTAATTCTTGTCCCGTGATATTTTCTTGTTAATACCAGTTTTTAGTAGTTAGAGTAAAAGTGCCCAAATTGTTATATCGCATCCTCTTTTATAGTACCTTTAAATTGATTAAACAATTGATCTAATATCGTAATTGTTAAATTTGACCCACCAATAATTTTGAACCCTCGTGATATTTAAATTATAACCTTCCGAAATGTAACTTCTCAATAACGTGCCCACAAAACTATTATTCAAAAGAAGATTGGAATTAGTTAAGAGACCCAACCTTTAACAAATCACAAACTTACCCAATTAACCCTAAACTCGGACCAAGTTAATCCTCGCCTCTTTCAAGCCTTTTCAAACTAGGGTTATCACTTAGTTGGATTTTGGATTTATTTGGATAATTTGAGTAGATTAGTTAGTCCCGAACCTTTGTGTAACCAGACCTCCGGACGAGTTCTACCTAGAACCATCTTAGACTTTTTCAACGCATAAAATAAGGCTGGGAGAACTGGAATGCATCTATTTGCGCATCAACACATGATTGCCATTTCTTTGCGCATCAACTAATTTTTAAGAATTAGAGTTCGTGTACCTATATTAAGGTTAGGGTTAGGGTTAGAGTAAATTGTTTTTATAAGTAAAATTTCCTTCCCGACACTTTTAATTAACGCTCCACGATAGGTTTAAACTGCCGTTTCCTATATTTTTTGCGGTTTTCACTTTTTTCGCTTTGTTTTGCTTCGTCGGGCTGATCCAGGATGATCAGAATTTTTCTATTTGATTGGTCGATCATCACGTGTTGATGCGCACGCGGGAGAACCGGAGCGTCTACGGGCACGTACCAATCACATGAATATGCACGTAACTATTATATGGGGTCTTGAAAATGACCTTACGGGACATAGTAAATCATATGATCCAAACTTGATTTTCTTCTAAAACCTGTCACATGTTAATATACTTACCTAAAGTTAGGGTACGTAACTGTGAGGAAAGTCTCCCAGAGCGTTTACGGGCACGTACCAATTCACGTACCCTAACTTTAGGTAAGTATATTAACATGTGACAGGTTTTAGAGTTATATAATAGTTACGTGCATATTCATGTGATGGTACGTGCCTGTAGACGCTCCGATGGAACGCGGTCCCAGGGTGAAATGATTGTATCAACCCAGTAAAGCTAGGCGGAACAACCTACTCCTAGTAGGGAGGTACTAGGAGAGATGGGTTGGGGTACTATTAGATATGTTTATCGGACAAACGCAAGCTCCAAGGAGTTTGACAAAAAACTAGGTATATTAGTCCGAAAAACATTTCCTAGTAAATACCTTGCCAACCGTGAAATACACCTCTACGCGGTGGTTGGGACAAGTAAGAGAAAATCTCTGAAATCAAGAGATTTTCTCTGAAACCAAGTATTTAGAAGGATCCGTATCATTTCACCGACAATCATTTCATCGACAGCTCATTTAGCCGACATCACACCAAGTGACAATTTACTAAAAATATATACCTGAAACTAATAAACCCTAACCCTAAACCCATGTGATGTCGGTTAAATGAAATGACTGTCGGTGAAGTGAGCGGCACCGATTTAGAAATTTTTACTTTTCGACGATTTAAGAAAGAATCTTACAATAATTTTTTTTCGACGATTAAAATAACTAATAATCAAAAGGATTTACATCGTATCAGCAATATAAGTATTATTTTTTTTGGTTTATCGTTATGTTGTTGATCTTTTCTTTTACTAATTAGTTTTTCTATTTTTTGTATAGTGTTGCCATTAGTATCGTTACTATTTGATGGTGTTTTTTTGCGCGTCATTTTCCGATGTTGTCGTTTATTAGTGTCTTCGCTTTTCACCCGGTGTCGTTTCTTTTGGTGTTTTCGTTTTCGCCGGTGTCGTCGTTTCCTGGTACTATAGGTTCCTGATTCGGCGCTTCTTGGGTTCGTCATTTCTTAGAGTCGTCGTTTCTTGGAGTCGTGTTGCCGGTCTCATTTCGTTACGATGAATTCTTTTCCTTTTTTTTTTGGTTTGTACTAATTTCTTTCTTTTTTGTAGGTTTAAACGCTTCTTTGAAATACGAAATAAACGCGGAAATAGAGATTTGTACTTTGCAGTAGTGGGAACTGGTTTATCGATAAGTGCTAGTTTCATTTTTTGGATTACTTTAAATTTGGCTTATTCTTGTTTGAACTAATTCTTGTCTTTTGTAGGTTTCGCGAAATTAGCGCTGGAATAAAGATTCGGATTTTCCAAGAACGGGAAACTGGTCTATTGACGTTTTTTTTTTTTTTTTTTTTGAATTACTGTACTTTCAATTTGCTTATTCTGTTTGACTAACTCTTGTTTTTTGTAGAGTTTCGCAAATTCATTTTTTGAATTACTTTTAATTTTGTTTTTTGTTTGAACCAATTCTTTTTTTTTTTTTTTTGCTGCCGCCGAAAATGGAGATTCGGATATTTCCAAGAACGGAAAACTAGTCTATTGATAAGTACTAGTTTAATTTTTTTCAAAGTACTCTTATTCTTGTTTGATTAATCCTTGTCTTTTGTAGGTGAATTGACGCCAGAAATGGGTGATTCAGACTTTCCAGGAACACATCAATAAGTGCCAGTTTCATTTTTTTATCATTTTTTAATAGCGTTGCTCGTGTCTTATGGTCAAGAGTTCCATTTAAAGTGATTTGTGTATCATTCGATTCGCCTTAATAAGACGAATTGAATGGTGTTAAAATTATTCGATTCTGACCATTGTATCAAAACTAAAATTTAAAATTAAGCATTGTATTATTTGTTCATATTTAATATAATACTAGAATTTTACATTTACTGTATACAATTTAGCAACTAATCATTATCGATCTCAATTCCTAAGACCTTATCAACTATATTCGACGCTTCAAAGTCCATATTATCGTGACCTTTAATTGATGTTAATTTAGATCGTAATCTAATTTTTTCACAATCGAAATTTGTATTGCTGAAACTAAAACAAGATAGTGTAAGATCCACTATATTTTCGATATCAAGTTTAGTTTCAGAAGCCATAAGTACATTAGAATTTGCCGAAGTGAAAATAGGGATAGTAGTATTATCTTGACTCACAATATAAGTCTCATCATTATTGGATATAACATTTGTGTTAAGTATATTAATTGCTTCCGAATATAAATCAACTGAAATTGTTGTCATATTAGCACATTTTTGTAATTCTTCTGTTAAATGTTTTCTATAATCAATGTAATTCCATTACATTCATATTTCTGCTCTAGGCCGACCATCAGAATTGGAATTTTATTTAAATTATTATTATCTGATATTATTCGAAAATGTAATGATATAGGGTGTTCTCAAGCAACTCTCTCAATGTGATCTAGATCGTGCACAAGCATTATAAATAATTCTTATAGCAATATTGTAGAGGACTCATAGTGCAGAATGCGGATATTAAGGCGTTCTCAAGCAGCACTCTCCATGTAATTTGAAGTGATCTGAGACGTTGCTCAAGCATTACCATTAATTGAAGTGATTATTACGATTAAATGGTAACGATATGCTGAAAATTCATTGTGCGAATTGCGGATTTTAAATTTTAGAAATCAGAGCAAAAACATTGGTGGTCGCAGCTCCAGGTTTTATTCATCGAAATAACAACTTTCTTGATTAGTTTATTCGAATTTTGACTAGTTAAAATTTTACTTCAGATCCATTGAGTGACGACCATCTTTTATTTTTCATTGCGATGAAGAACTCACTTGATCAGCTAAATTATTTTCCGCTAATTAAAAACTGATTTTCGATCCATTGATTTAGGCGTTTGAGAACACCTATAATTAAATTTTATGTTATATAGTCTAGTTTTAATTTAATAATAGTTTAATTTCAATCAATTATTTATATTATATACATTAGCGTTAGTTTTTGATTTTTAACTACGTACAGTATATATTTTAAACCAGTTTTATATTAGTTTTATCACATGACAAAACTAAAACACAATGATGTTAAAACATGAATAAGCAATAGCAAATAGTATAAGATCATGTACAGTACCATACAAATTTGAAGTAAAAAAACGATGTAAATCGGAAATAACAAGTTAAAAGTTGAAAAGCATACATTTTTTTACTTGATACAATATCGTTTTACATTAATTAAACATAGAGAACACTTATCTAGCCTCACTGTAAATCTCAAATAATAGATATGTGGCGTATGTGGCAAATGATAAAATTCGTTTACGTTTTATTCTTTTGTTAAAAAAGGAAAAGGAAATTTTTACATTAAAAAATATATAACGTTAATAACAGTTAGCACACATAACATGATATTTCGAATCAGAAAAAATCAAAAATATTGCAGGAAATACATCCGAAGTATTAAATGCGGGCAATGATTAAAGAAACATTTTGTTTAAATCCATTACAATAAACACAATAATAATAATAGGTGCATACTTATTAATTGTTCTCAAATCTATATGCCTTTAATTACAGCAATGTTAAGGTATTTAATATTGAATTGTTTACTAAAATTTTAAGTGGTGTTTTTTTTCAGAAATTCTGTATCATTTTTGATAACCAATCTTAGATTAGACCTATTAATTATTATTAGTCGAATTCAACAATTTCTTACTATATAAAAGCTATTAATGGAGGTTATAATAATAACTAGAAAAACGGCGGCGTTTTGTAGGCTGGAGCCTTAATTATTAGGTCTTACATTTTAGAAATAATTTTAAATTTTATAAATTACAATTATGATCAATCAATCTTTGTTATAAAAGTGTAATTTGCCCTAATTTTTGTAAACCCATCAAAAGAAAATAAAGTATATCATTAAGAGTACGAATCCTTGATACGCCTACAAATGTAAAGTCTGGTGAAATTCCTTATTTCCAAGATTTATTACAGCCTGCGGTAATGTCAAACCCTGTGACTTATGAATCGTAATTGCC